AAGAAGCTTTTCGTTAGAGTTTATTAAATATGGCCAATAAGTAGTATTAGTCGTTTGCAGTGAACGATACTCTATTGCTTGCTAGAATAATTACTCTTCCATCCTAAACGTATTAATAACCAATACACCTATTAATCCGTTTCTCTATGCCATCGCTTACCTGCCGGAAGCATACTAATTCGCTATAAGATTTTCAAAAATACGAGCTCATTAAAAATTAAGCGACCTTAAGGTATCCGTGTCGTGTGCATTTTACGATAATAACTGAAGACGTTTCACGCTCACAGATACGCAAAAAGATAAATTAACCCCTTCCTGTGCCATTTAGCTGAATGAAATCCGGGCCCAAACGGTAGTCGTCAACGCGCGGTAAACAGACCAGGCTGATACTCGACAACAGTCGCGATAGAAGCCAAAATGTAGATACGTATGATATGGCCACGAGCCTGGATCGTGACGTTTACGTTTGGGCCGATTTTCTCTTCACGTGTGTGGCTCGTGATATTCATGTTTGGTCCAATATATTCATCGCGAGTCAGACTCGTACCAAGATTCCATAAATTTGTTATCATCTTAACGAAAATGGCTACTAGAAATGGCCACGTTACTTACCTGTGCTTATCGCAGTTATCCTCATCGAAGCTACCTGCGAAAATGGACCCTAGTCCGATGTCGCTCATCGACGCCATCGCTAGTTCTCCGCAACCGAGCATAATTACAGCCAGCCTGTCAGGTACTCGTCCGGATCCGTATCGCTCGGTGAAATCAGCCTTTAGGTTGCGGCACGGCCGTATCGAGAGCGCAAGTGAAATTAGTCGCGGTTGGACGAGTGCGGCCGCAGCCGGGTCCTGCAAGAAGGAAAGTAACGCGACTGGCGACGAATCAGGGTGAATCGACGCGGACGCCGATCAGCGCCGAAAGGGAAAGACAGTGGTGGAAAAAGGGGAATGGAAAGAGAAAGAACCGTGTCGAAGCGCGGCGACGACGCGTCGAAACGAGGCGCGCTCGCATTTTCATTCACCGCGTGTCACGCGTGGGCGTGCCGTTTCTAGCCTGTCATCGTAACGGCGCGAGCGTTGGCGTCGCGTTAACGCGCATAGGAGCACGCTCGGCTAAGGACGCGATAATAGGACAATGGGACGTGGATTCGTTGAATTTCGGAGGAAATAGGCGCGGGCTGAAACCGGCGGCCCTTTTAATTACGGAATTTCGGTGCCATCGCACGTGACATCGCGGCGCGTGTCAAACGGCTCTACGTTTTCTTTGTCACATCGCACCGAAGGGTAGTCCATGCACAGATTTCCGTGATCCCTGTTCTCGCCTCTATCATGCCCGATCCATGAGCTCTTTAATACACTGGACAGAAGAAAATTACGAGTGAATTTTCTTTGAGGATACAACTAGTATCGGCTCTGGCAGGGGGTGAAAAGTTATGCGAATTTGTATATTTCTTCTATCACTCGATTTTCTCACAGACTTCTGTTTATCTTTACCGACGCGTCTCGTTGGACCCGGGTGCAGAATAATGTGTCGAAGATTCTGAATTTACTATAGGATTGAACGTGATATGTATAGAAACTGACAGTCACCAATCACTATGGTAAATCGACTCAATGTCTAACACGGTACACTTTCACGAGTGGACGTGTGATATATACATCGAGATACGCGTATTATCGTACAACCTAACCTCAATCTCAAACACTCCTAACCTATAAATCGACCAGAGATTTCATCCCTACTGTACAGATCGTGTCAAGTATAGATCCATATTCATCCAACTTAGGAAAATAATTCATCAGATACAAATACGTACAATCTTCGTCGATCACGACGTACATATACGCCGCGAACGTTCTCGCAAACGACTCTGAATCTCCAGCAGCCCTAACCTATAAACAGACCAGAGATCTCTCTTCCAGCATACAGATCATGTCAAATGTAAATTCATATACATCCGACTTAGGAAAATATTTCTTCAAATACGTGCAATACGTGCAATCTTCGTCGATCGTGACGTACCTAACCTAACCGAACGCTCTAGATGTTAATCCTGCGTGACTCTGAATCTCCAACAGCCCTAACCTATAAACGCAGACCAGAGAGCCCATCGCTCTCGATTATCCCGTATGAAATATTCGCGGACACGTAGTAAACGTGCGAAGAAGATTGTTTTCTCCGAGAAATTCGTGGAGTGGAACTCGAGGAAGCAGGATGGAGTGGACAGCGACCCAAGGCAGAGCCCGCTCACGTAGCAGAGCGTCTACGTATTTCGCCGGCGAATACTTTGGCCAAGGGATCGAGGCGGTCGTCGATGCATGTTCATACCCATTCACCGAATTCCTCGGTTCAATGGGCCGTATCCTGAATACGCAATGACACGCGGCTTTTGCCGGCTCCTCGGGAGAAGCGGGATTTTCGCTCTAGCCTGTGACGGGTCCCCGGGTCGCCGGTTGCATACGCAACAAAAACGCCAGAAGAAATCCATCCAGCATCGCGGGATTCATTACGATGCTTCCAAGATGTAATTTACAGCGTCGTTAACGAGCAGGCGCGAGCCTAGGTGTCACGGGCCGCGTTCCTTCCTCGCCTTCCTCTCTGCCTCTCCGTCTTTCTTCTTCCTTCTCTCCTCCTGTCCTTCGTCTCGATCAACAATGAAACGCCACGCGGAGGAAGTAAGGAGACGACGAGGGAAAAGATGAAGTCGACGGGTAAAAGAGAAACTACCCACGCTCTTTTATCTCGCTGGCCCTTTGTATCAAGCCGCTGTCGCAACTGGTATGCGCCGGCTTCACCAAAGTCCACCTTCTCTTCCTGTCGATTCTTCTTTTTGTCCCCCGGCTCTCGCTTCGTCCACCCTTTCTCTCTCTTTTTCAACCGGCTAGTCCTTGTGAACCGCCTTCCTAACATACGTAATTCGTTCTCCACGCCAGCCTCTTATCACATGCCGTTCGTTGACTCCGAATGACGAATACCCACTCTTCCTTTGGTTTACCTTCCCTCTTCGGCATTCATCCACGCGGCAGTTTCTCCTTCCGCTCTCCCGGGGCATCTTTTTATTTCTCTTTTTCCCTCTACCTTCTTCTTATGCTTCTCTACATTACGCGATTGCTTCAGCAACTTACGTTACGACCAGTGAAATTTTGCAATTTTTTCCACTTCAACTTATCATTGAGTTCCTAGCCTCTTTTTCTTTGAACAGGAGTAGGGATCTCCAACGATCCTCAATGGAACTTTCCTCAGCTTCAGTTTATTTTCATGATCCTAGCATCTTCGTCTTCGAATCACCACCAAAATTCCTGAAAAAATTTCTCTGTTTTATGTCATTTCGAATGATCCTCGATCAAAGATCAAACATCTCTAAGCTCTACACGAATCTTAGCCGTTTGTTGGCTGAAATTTCGTCAATCCTTCATCTTTGTCTTCGAATATATTCCCAATCATCCATACTCGATTAGTCAAAAATATTCCCAAACCTATTCGTCGATCAGCCAATATCCGCTTCAAAATTCTGTCAATTTTCTGTCTCGAACCTCGAATCTAACCCAGTCATCCAAAAATACCCCAGACCCATCCATCGATCCACCTATTCTTCCCTCTCGATCAGTGTCGATCTCTCGTCTTGCTTCTCGTGCTTGCCCTTGAATTTCGCTAGAAATTCCTTCGCGCGTCACCCTCGAGCAGGCAGCCGGAAATCACGCGAATCCGGACACGCATTCCCACGCACCCGCGCCTCGTAAATTCACGCCCCACGTACTCGCTCGCACGAACTGTGAAACAAGAAACGTCGCATTCGGCGACATGCTTGTCGGTTTCATTCGCGTTACCACTCAGGCCAGCCGTGTCCATGGATCTCCACGTCCTGGCTGACACCGAAATACGCGTGCTTATTCATCCGCCGTGCTGATCTGCATACCGCACCGGAGTATCGCGAGAACTAGCCGGTCAAAGTGCGAAGGTATGCGATTGGCTCGCTTCCAAGCCGTAGTTACAGCACGTCGCTCGACTGTCACGGGCCGACAGTTACACCGAGAATGCCACGTGACAGGATAAATACGACCTTAACATTCAACGGAGGAATAGCGTACAATGGCTTGTTACACTTTGCTGGTACACGCTCGAGTTCGCAACAAACGCGATCGATCCGTGTTCTGAGAGGCGTATGCGTGTATGTTCGACGGCCACTGTTTACGGAAATCGGTTGGCGAAGGTTTCCAATTGGAAATCGGAAGAAACCGGCGGAACGTTCTCGAGGATCTCGCGAGAGGATGGTCCAAGGTTGCGTGACGTAATTCGAAGGATTTGGAGAACAGGTTACGGTCCTGGCTCGTGTAATCAGAGAAAATGATCGTAATTAGAGACGAAATTGGAGGGTTATTTTTGACGTCTTCCCCGTTTCGTAACGACACTGAGCGATACAATCGTAACTTTCGTGTGGTGTGATGTAATTATTTCGAGCACAGGCGTGGAAGAGGGATTCAGGGATATTTCGTCAGGTGTATGGGACTTTTAGAACGATTGCGAATTTTTATTTTTCGTATCTGTTCAAATGGTTGATACGTTCTTTCGTAAATTTGGTATCCGTGATATAGGAAACAGGTGATTTACGAATGATGCATTAATGATCGCAAGTAGACGCGAAGCTAACTTTCAGAAGATCATGTTCTTCGTCTTTCTAATTAATTATTAGTTGATTAAAATTGAGACAAACGTGATTTTCCAAGCAAAAGATTCGAATTTCACGATAAATTAACAAATTTCCTGGAGTATATTATAATTATCGATATTATCTTCGAATTGAATTCTAATTTCGAGAAAGATTAAAATATTGCTATTAAAAAATCGGAAGAAAGTTTACAAATACTGACGTAATCTGTGCCATAATAATATAACAACATTTATGTCATAATATAACTTGGATAATTTGGTCAAAGTTACCAAGCTGAAGAGCCTCGATCCGAGTAAATATACGACTAACAGTACAATTTTCGTGGTTTCAGGAAACGGAAGAAGAGTGCCGACATGTCGGCCTTGAACGCCGGGCCTTGTCGACCCGGGATTATACTCTGTCTGGCTGTTCTACTGGCATCGCAATCCAATTCTGGTAAGTTTTCGAGCGAATCCACAACGAAGCCTCTCTCACAAAGGAACCCGTTCGTTCCGCGAGACTTTTATCTTCGCCATCGTCTTGCCGCGACCAACCGCGTACACTACGCGACGAAACGTTAACTCATTTGCCAGGGAACCAGCGTACGTGAGTCGAGATGAAAAGGAAGTCCCGGCGAGGAAGAACATCGCCTTTTTTCTCAACCATACTCTTCGTACGTTCTCCTCGTCTTCATTTTAGAGAAAAAATAATAATATCGTTGCCGCGATTACTTTTCACGTGAATTACCTCCAATTGTCAATTTACTTTTAATACTCTTATATCTTTATACTTTGCATCACCTGCTTTTTTCATTTAATTCGGGACCCAAGTTAAGGCCCCGAGTTTTAATCTCGAAACCAGTAGAAAGTACCAATCAGAGATGTCAAATAAATAGATATTTGTCAAATAATAACTCGAGGCAAATAATAATAAGTCCATTTCACGTCCCTATTACCCACAAGGTGTCAAAGAACACGGATTGCTTCGTAATATCGTAGCAAGAACAAGACGAATACTCAAAGAATGGTGTCAAAGAACATCATCGAGATCCAATCCAACGAATCGACATTGTAAGACCCCATAGCTAGGAGAAATAGGAGAGCAAGGATCTAAAGCATCCGTGAGATCAATTTCTCTGAACCCAAAGCGCGCGCACGCGGCTGAAATTAATTCCCGAAGGATGATCGTTCCGTCGAAGCCTAGCTCGGTCTTCCCTTTTCCGAAACGACTATGACTAACCCGACCGGCCAATGTCTGAATGGGCGAGCCAGCCTGCGCCAGGACATCGAACCTATCTTTGTCTATCCCTTCCACCCGACCAGGGAACAGTCTTACCTCATAACGCTCACCTCTGCCACGTCGTGGGGCCCAGGGTGCTTTCCCATGGACCCGGCACACCATATTCGTTCCTCGACTCGGGTCGTCCCGGAGCACACAGCCCGTCTTCTCCATCACGAGAGCCACTGAGAGGCTCTTCGGGGTATCGTACAGGCCTCTTCCGTTTACGTCTCAGCCGGTTTCGAATTACCTTCGCGACTATTCCTGACAGAGTCTAGGTTCTCGGTCGACGATCGATGGAACGTGGTCGTCTGATAGATTCCTTCGTGCTGGATTAGTCATCTCTCCCCTGTGGCCGTGTTGCATCGGAAATCATTTCGAAAGCCTGGCAGACTACTTTCACCTGCGTTGGGGTTGCGTCACGCGAAACTGGAGGTCAAGTTCGTGGGAAATTAGTACCTGCGTGGCAGATGCGTGCGAGGCTGAATGAACGAATTAAGATCCGAAGGATAAAACAGCGTTGCTCTGCTCTCTCACCTTTGCACTGAGAAAAGAGCCACAGACGTCCCAGAACAAGCCGATAGTTTCCTCGAATTCGAGTCCAAAGATCTGAAAAAAATAAGTAAAATTTATAACATGACCATGGCATCCATTCATTCTGCTCCCTCGTCTCGTAATTTCGGATCGATATAAATCCCATTGACAGGCCGAGTGACACGTCAGTCTCTGGGGACTGACGGTGAACTTTCCGTTCAGGCGGTTTCTACTGACAGAAGACTTTTCGTTTGGTCGACATGGATGCGTGAGACCGGCATTATCAAGAGTTAAATTATTAATGACAATTAATATATTGCAAAAACTAAATTCCCTCTGCTGAAGTAAATCTTTGCACTTCCGTGGCTTTTCCTGGCTGATAGTCTCTTGGTGATCGCCTTTTGCCTTTCTGGCATTCTCCAGTCCGTTATCTTCTGTTTATAATTTGTATATTTCTGCATTGGCTGTACCATTCTCACAGTCTAAAGGACAAAGTGAAAGAAAGTAATCTTCTGTTCATACTCTTCAGCGTACATGAGTTCTCGGCATCGAGTGCACACTCGCTGACGCCTGAGCGGAAAGTATAGCAAAATCGGCGCCGCACTGAACGCGTTAAAGAATTAGTAGATATCGAGTCTACTCCCGAAATCGAAGATAGTCAGCACGGATAAAGATGCAAGGATGCAAAAATAATCTTCTGAATCCGATTCTACGTTCTGGACAAAAATAGCCTCGGTATCCAGGAGAACTTTGACTCGAGCCCACCGATCTACGTAATACCCTGAATGTGAAACTACCTCTGGGAATGACCTTTCGTATCTTCCTCGTGGAGCCCCGCTCAGACGCTGGTATCGCGAAATTAACATTCGAAGCTTCCCGAATCAGATTTCTGTTACCTCGATTCTCATTCAGCGCGCTCGGCGACGTCAATACACGCCCGCGTCGAATCCCAATCAAGCGAGAGACTTGATTCGGAATTCACGTTAACCTTCTCACGAGGATTCTCGCAGCGTCTGACGAGCGTCGGCTACGCCTTCCGGCTTTGGTCGGACGGCGCAAAACGGCGGTGGAGGAAAAAGGAAAAGAAAAAAGGTCCGTGCACACTTAGCGAGCTCTTCCTGGATCTTAGTCATCCCCCATCGCGATCTATCAACGCCAGAGCGCGGAACCGATCCTGTTCCCGGGACGCGACCATCGGGAATCGTTCTCGGAACAGCGTGCTACCTCGAACAGCGGCGACGTGCAAAAACGTTGCATCGTCAATGAGAACTCATTGGAGATGCAACGTTTTTGCCACGAACCTGCCACTCCTCCGCCCCGCCGACAATTGGCTGGTTCGACGAACACCAGGTGTGGACAAATGGCCGTCCGGAACGACTGAATTCCCCCAGTAGACGCGTCATCCTTTTTTTCAATTAGATCACTGGGTGATCCTGTCCCTCCGCGCGGTTTCTTGCCGGCAGCTTCCCTTTCGAGCCATCGGGATCGACGCGTCACCGATCCGCTCGCTTTTCTTCCACGAGATCGGCGCGTTTGACCGTGGAAGGTTCACATTCGAGGAAGAGATCGATATTCCCGACGTATCGTCGCGGAACGAAACGTCCCGGCAGGCAAAAAGGCAGCCAGTTTCGTTGGCTTCCTCGGACACTTGGCCTCGAGGACTTCTTGCCCGACTGACGATTTCGTTGAAATTATCCTCTCGTCCTTTGCAGAAAACATTCGCGATCGTTGAAACGAGACCGGCGACCCCCGTGGAGAGACGTTTTGCGCGATCGGCGAGTAGCCAAGCAGAAAAAGGCTGCCTTCGACGAACCGAATCCGGTTTCCGCGTAATTCATCGATCCTCGAGTCAGCCGTGAACGCGGATCGGCTCGACGACGCGTTGTACGAGCGAAAGATCGACGCAAGAAGTCGGGGAGGGAAGAACGAGCCGTGAACGAGATCTCGAAATCCTCGCGGAAACGATCTATGGGATAAAGGCTGTGGGAGGGGACTGGGAAGAAAAATGCGTGTCGTTGGTACACAGCTGCACGAATAGCGGTTCCTGTACTTACTCGCCTGCATCCACGTGATGCTGTGAATTCTGGTCAAACCTGTAGGCCCGAAGAAACGGCCCCACGGCTCGTCCGGATGTCACTGACCGCGTACCTCACCGTTGCCCACTTACGGTCCATGTCGTCGCACCTGACCCTCCAGGCGTTCCATATTTATGCCTTAATGCCAGCCAAAGTGTCGTTATCTTCGAGTATCGTTCAACCGTCGGGGCCACGGGGCTTCCTTTCGGTGCCTCTCGACTCTTCGTGTTCGGCCTTCCTGAAAATATCGTCGAATAATCAGCTGGGTCGGGTCAAGCTCTTGGAATCTCTCGAAAAATGAATTTCTTAAAAAAGAAAAAAAAAAGAAACAAAAATAAGAAGAGAGAGAGGAAAAGAACGGTAAATCGTACATCGCCAGAAATTGTACCGGTTTAACGTTCGTTTGCCAAGATAATTCGATCTCGATGCTCGAGAAACCGTTGACCGGTATCTCGCATCGGTCCGCGGAAATATCGCTGGCTAATGTTTCAGCGCTTTAATAATAACGAAAATCGATTTACATTCTCGCCTCTGCGGGATCTTCGATTAAAAGCCGAGCAATTTCCGAGTGCAGCTCGCGGTGCACGCTTGCCGGGCAAATAACGCGCCGCTATCAAACACGCTCGAGCAAACACATTCGGTTTATTTGCCTCCCGAAAGGGTCTCGCCACCTGTTTGAGAATACCCATCGTTCCTCGTTATCGCGGTAATTAATTGTCGCGGCATGATCGTCCTCGAATCCTTCTGCCGAACCGCGCGTTTCGAGCCGGTCGCTCGCGGTGTTTCGGGGCAGCGAAATCGGCCGTTTAAAATTCGGGACGTGTAAAGGAGCGGTTAAGTAAACGTAGCCGGTCAACACCGCCATTAACAAAGGTACACGCGCGTCGAGCTTGTACAAACACTCGTGCATAATTAGCTCCGTTTCCCATACGCCTTATTTTTCCTCCGTTACACCGGGCGTTGCGCAATCCGCCATTGGACGCGGACTCGTGGCGCCCTCCAACTGGAGGAACATCCGTCGCGGGTGCGGTCGATCTGAATTAAACATCCGCGTCTACCGCGACGATCCGCGTTCCGATTCCTATTTTCCTTAGCACCGGTCGAGATCCTGGAACAACATTCGCTCCACGATCCCCCGTGTATCGCGCTCGAGCATCGCTCCGACAAACGTTTACCTTTCTCTACTCTATTTACGAACCGCGCCTCCTTATCGTTATCGTTTACGATCATCGTCACGGGCGAGAAAACACATTTGAAGACGGAAGTAGCTTCTAAACGGGGAACAAGAACAAATGATGGAACGGGCCCGGTTTACGACGATGGATCCGTGCCCGAGGAAGACCGGGGACCCGGGCAGAAAGGATCCGTTGTGACTGGGTACCTGCAACAGGCACCCGGCTGCCTATCCTCGTCGCTTTCCGTGCCCCGACACTCGTCTCGTCCTTCCACCGTGCTTTCTTCGCTAACTTTGCTCGAGGTGACGAGGTCAGCCGCGGTCATTCGACGAAGGGGTATAACGGAACGCGTGGGTGCAACCTCGTCGTGACACGGATTAAATGATCGTATTAA